GGATCTTACTATGAGCTGCTGTCTGGCAAAATAATAAAAGGGATGTCTTTTTCTGTGTCTGACACGGGAGAGATTGCAAGTAAAACACTACTTGCAGTTTTCAAAAGATGTTGAAAAAATATAAGACACTTCAGAAAAAGCCTGAGGGAAAAAAAAAATATTTATTTGCAGGACTGGTAAGCTGGTTCTGTAAAGAGAAGCAAAAAGATATTTGTTTATTGAGAAATGTCTTGAAATGTTGCTCCCAGGAAGGGTTCAGGAATAGCTGCTCGGGCAGCCAGCAGACAAGGGATTTGGTTAAAAAGGAGATGAGGATAAGGGAGGAAGAAAAGCTGAAGCCAACTAACTTGTAGAGCAGCTTACCAGGGGCAGTGGTAATTCCTTGTTCCCTTGAATTCGCAGGGGTGGGGGTGGTTAAATTTTAATTAGTAAGTTTGGATGAGGTGCAGGGTTTGCCAGCTGAAATGCTCTGAAGCCTGACATCCCTGGAGCAGCTGAGCTGGGAGCAGGAATATGGAAATATCACAGAAATAGTTGTGTTGACCATTTGTAGTTTGCATTACCACTTGAAATACTAGTAAGATCCCTAAAGCATGCCTTCTGCAAAGCTGGATTTGTCCCCTACAGTTTATAGACAAGTTTGAAATTTTCTCATTTTTGCCTGGATTTGATGCCAGGTTTATGACAAGTGCAGGCTAAGTTAGCACAGGATCTTGTTTGTCCCTTGGAGGCTTTTAACAGGCAGGGATGGACAGCAGAACCCAATAGAGTAATTTCAAACAAAGAGTCTGGGGGAGGGGGTGTAAAAATTCCTGACTTTTTAGGAAATCGATGTTTTCTTGCTTTCTGTGTATACTTAACATTAGCACTCAGCATGGCTGTTGGAAGATACTTAAACTGAACTTTTTAAACATTTTAAAATTATTTTTTTAAAACAGGGAAATCCAGACCAGTTCCTTTGAGGAGCTGGATGAAAAGGGCGAGTCTCAGATTGCCAGGCATGAGGTTAAGGGAAGTGGGCCTGGAGAGCTGGGGTGTGTGTGCCCTTCTCTTCCCCAGCAAAGCTTCTCCTGCGGCTCAGCAGCTTTGCAAATGAGCCCTGCACCACAAAGCTCCCTCTCGTGGTGCTGCTGCCTTTCCAAGGTGCATAAAGGCATTTCTGTCACACACAAATGTCCCTTAATGCTCCTTTGAGTGAGCATCACATTTGTCTTGGCAAGTTTTGCTTCAAAATGTGTCCAGGATTTTTGTTGAGTAAATAATATGCTTGTTAAAGAAGGGTTGAAAGCATCTTGTTTAGGACTTGAGGAACTTGCCATACTGTGGAATAGAAAAAGATAAATGTTATCCTTATTGGTTGTATCAACTTTGAATAGTTCGGGTGCTCCAAAATAAACTGTTTGTGCCTTTAAAATTACTCTGCGACAGTCAGGATGGACTGTTTGCTACATGCTGTCATTTCTCCAGATGGTGAATGCCTGTGGGTCTGTGACAGTGTCATCTGACACAATTTGTGTTCAAAGGGTTGTGCTGTAGTGTGTTTGTAAAGTCAGAAGTGATTTTATAATAATCTAATCTGACGTGTTATAAATAGCATTAATTTCCCTCAGCTCTACCTGCACTGGTGCAGCCTCACCTCGAGCCCTGTGTGCAGTTTTAGGCACCACAATATAGAAAAGACATTAAGCTATTAGAGAGCATCCAAAGAAGGCCACGAGGATGGGGAAGGGTTTGGAGGGGAAGCCTTCTGAGGAGCAGCTGAGGGCACTTGGCTTGTTCAGCCTGGAGGAGACTGAGAGGAGACCTCACTGGTGTCTTCAACAGCCTCACAAGGGGCAGGTACCAATATCTTCACTCTCTTGACAGGACTCGAGGAAACGGCATGAAGCTGAGAGGGGAGGCTGAGGTTGGATATTAGGAAAAAGTTTTTCACCCAGAGGGTGGTCGGGCACTGAACAGGCTCCCCAGGGCAGTGGTCACAGCCCCAAGTCTTCCAGAGCCCAAGGAGCATCTGGACAATCCTGTCAGGCACATGGTGGGATTGTTGGGGTGTCCTGTGCGTGGCCAGGAGTTTGACTCGATGATCCCTGTGGGTCTCTTCCAGTTCAGCATATTCTGTGGTTCTGTGATGCCTGCTTAAAAACCTCAGAAGCCGGAGTCAATCCAGTGTTCCCTCTCGTTAAGCAAATTTACCATCTCACAGCAGAAGCTCTTGAAATGACTTGCTTCTTGCTACAAGTTAAACACTTTTAAGACTGTTAAATGTCTCTTTCTGGCTGATGAACCCATCTGCTTGAGAAGCTGAAAAGTTACCTGCTGAAAGTGCTATATTTAATAAAAGGAGTTCCCAAAGCTTATCTCTGGTGAACAGCTGACGAGCCATTGGGGCGTCCTGGTGTGTGTGTGTTGGACATTCAATATCAGTAAACTTAAAAACTGCAGGTGTAGGAAATGCCTGTTGAGGCAGATTGTGTTATCTGGAGTCATGTTACTCTTTCCAGTGCAGTAGGTAACTGGTGCTTTGCCAGCACCAGTGTGCTTGGCCAAACAGGAAAAAATGTCCCCAGACGTGCACCAGTCAGTAATAAATAGGAGATCATGCAGATAATCAGCTAATTCTGGAGCAGGTTGTTTTGGGTGCCGTGCTGTGAATGAGGTGTTTGTGTAAGATCATGCTCATAAACTTCCTCATTTGCTTCCATAAGCAGAGGACCAGCCTGCTCCGTGCTGTCAGCCAGGGGCTGGGGCTGTGTCTGCCCTGGGCACCCTTGGAGCTGGATTTCTTCAGTCTTGAGCAGGAGCCGGAACCTGTAGGAACAGGTCGGGATCCTGTTCCTCCTGTTGTGCCCAGTGGCATGCAGACTTTCCTCTGGGCTCTGCCCAGAGCAGCAGCCTGTGCCAAGAGACATGTGGCCTGACCAGAAGAGTCGCCTGAGCTCTCCCCTCCCTTCCTTGGTTTTCCTGATGTGCTGCCAGTGCAGTAACTGCAGGCGATGGCCCTGAAGCACAGCATGGGTCGGTGACGGTGTCAGTGGTAGCATCAGTGCCTACGTGAGCTCAGTTCTTGCTCCTGTTCACTTTATTCCTGGTTCTTGACCTCTGCAGAGCCTTACTGGAGGACCTGGTTTAGACTAATGGGTGGCCCACTGGGGACAGCCTTGACCCATTGCTTAGCCGAGCAGTGAGGCAGCACAGCCTCCTTGGTTTCGTTTACTCTCAGCCTAAGCAAAGCTCTCAGGACCCCACAGTTCTCCTTTGGGCAATTTAATTTGATCCCCAGCATGTCTCCTACGTGTCATCACCACTGTGTCCCCTCCTGGGCTGGGTGCCTGTCTCCTGTCTCCCTCTTTTTGGTACAGAGCAAACTCCGGAGTTGTGACTAATGATATAACCAGTTGGTTCAGCTCGAGAGTCAGATTTGTCCTGTTGAAGTACAACACTTCAAATCCTGCCCAACCATTCCCAGTTGTGCTTCTTGGCTTGAGGGCCACGAATGATTCATCAAATAGCAGGATATTAGAAAAGAATATCCAACATTCTCTTTGTCAGACTTGCCGGTTTCATTGCATTTGGTGTCCTAGCAAAGAAAATGGGCAGTAAAAGAAGAGTTAATGCCACTGGGTTGTTTAAGAACGTTTTGTTGTTGGGCACCAGACTTAGTCTTAAGGTTAAAAGCAGGAAAATAATTGAGAAACGTGTCCACTGGTCAAGGGTTGAGTGTCCTTTTGGTGATTTGCCATCCTGACCCCCTACCATTGTCTAAATTTCCGATTCAAATTTTAACTGCAACTGGCCTTGTCAAGTCTTGATGTGCTGCAAGTGCCTCGTAGGATCAGAAAGCTTTTATTACCAATTTTGAGATATGGATTAGTCAACCCAGGCTTGATAAAGCCTGTGGATTGGTGTCCATCTGCTCTTCAGGTTCTCCACATTCTTGGTGACTCTTGTGTCTTGTTTGTTCTGTAAGATAATTGCTTTGCAAACTATTTATGGTTGGTTTTAATGCTGGTTTTCATATCCTCTGTGTCTGCTAAATTAACAAATATTATGTTTATGATGCTGGTCTTACTTCAGTTGCTGCCAACATTGAGGAAAGGTAGTTTTTTTTTCCTGGTGCAAAGCTCTTGTCTTACACCACTATCAGTAGCTCTCTTGTGCATTATCTTCATTCTGTAATTAGTGATAATAAGATAAGTTTATATGCAATAAATTCCTGTCAAGTTTAAATGAAATCTAATTTGGTTTTGTGAAATCAAACCAAGCATGTGTGACAGATGTCAGAGATCTAAAAGATAAAATGGCTTTATAGTTGTGTTTATAAATAACACTGCCAGTTGCAGGTATTTTATCAAAGTAATAATAATTTATTTTTTTTTTTTAAATTGATCATATTCTAGCTCTTCCTGAATATTTGCAGCCAAGGTATTTTCAGGCACTGGCACAACTGGCCCAGGCTGCCCAGGGCAGTGGTGGAGTCACTGTCCCTGGAAGTGTTCAAAAGATGTGTGGATGTGGCACTTGGGGAGATGGTTTAGTGGTGACCATGGTGGTGGTGCTGCTTAAGGGTTGGACTCAATGATCTTAAAGGGCTTCTCCAACCTTAACGATCCCAGGACTCTGTGGAGTCTCACAGTGCAGGACAGGGCGTTGGTTCCAAAATGTGACTGATTTTGTGGTTCCATTACCTGTTTTAAAGGCACAGGGAACTATTTTAAGGTGCAGACAATGACACTCACTCGATGTATCTCGCTCTTCCTGCTCTCTTGTTCCCTGTGAAGGCACTTGGAGCCCGAAGCAGCCCCGGTTGGATGTGCAACATGGGCCATGCTGACGGGTTGGGGTCCAGCTGTCGCGCTCCCACCGTGTGCTGGAGGGGCTCCAGAGCCTTTGGAGGCTACAGGGGCCTGTTCCATGCTTCAGCTTCACCTGGCTTTTGATTGTCACAGAGAGAAATTTCCTTCCTTTTCCTGGTCTTTTGATGGAATGCTTCTGTTTTCCAGGACTGGCAGCCTCCCTTCGCCTGCGATGTTGACAAGCTTCACTTCACCCCAAGGATCCAGAGGCTCAATGAACTGGAGGTAAACTGGAAAGCTGGGCATTGCTTCTGCTCCTAAACGTGCCACTGTGTTTCTGAGAGGTGCTGTTTGCCAGAGGACTGGCCATGAGCTGACAGCACTCGGGACCTCTGAACAGCAGTTTTTAATTAGCACAGAAATTCCTCTGTTTCAGAACCTAGTTCAGAACATTCCGTGCATAAAAAGTATAGCTAATGCTCATTAAAAGAACGTAATTCAGGCCTTTTCCACACAGAAGTGCTTCTAAGTGGTTAAACTGAAACTCTCCAGTGCCACAGATCTGTGTCTGCGTTTTGCACACATACAGCATCTTTCAAAAGGAGAAGAGATTAAACACTTGGAGTGCTTTAAAAATAACCAGCCTTTTGGAAGAAACAATTGCAAAATCTGGATTCAGTTGGTTGAAATTTGCTGTTCACAAGCACTTTCATTCACTGCTTCCATGAACTGAGACTAGAAAGGGAGCGTGAGGAGCCCTGGTTGGCTCGGTGCTGGTACCAGTTGGGATGGTGGTGACTCTGTGTCTAATTTTTCTCCTGATTCTTGCTTTCTAAAGTCCTGACTTGGTCACGTGAAATGTCAAGGAAAGGGCTCAGATTTGGGATGCTAAGAGAGGGTTTGTGTGACCACAAGCTGTTCAGAGCTCCCTGGAGTTTACAGACAAGCTACAGACAAACGTTGCTATTTTTTTACCTTAAGAATAGAAAATGTGATGAAAATAAAACGTGTCAAAATTTAAGTTACTGCTATTTAACGTAGCAGCAGCGCAGTGATCTTACTGAGGGAATTGCTGTGCAACCAGCAATTATTAATGCAATAAATGCAATAAATCCCAACAATGCAGCTGATTTAGGGAGTTTTTAGTGTTGCTTGGCTGTTCTCAGAAAGTACTTTTCTCAGTGCAGTAAGAAGTAACAAAACTGACTTTAGAAAAGACACAATTTATTTTTCTTCAGATGACGAGAGAAAAATGCAAATGACCCTTGCAGAGGGCAAACCCAGGCAGTTCACTTGTTTGTTTGTTTGTTTGTTTGTTTGCAGGCCCAAACTCGTGTAAAACTGAATTTTCTGGACCAGATTGCAAAGTTTTGGGAGCTTCAAGGATGCACGCTGAAAATTCCACATGTGGAGAGGAAGATCTTGGATTTATTTCAGCTTAATAGAGTAAGACTGTTAGGGAGAAACTCATGCTGAAAAGCTGCTGTGTTATCTCAGTTCCTGGGATGGTATCACAGCTGGTCAGGCGAGATTTTGGGGTGTATCTAAGCTGGAAAAAGTATTTCTTTGTTTCAGCTAACACAGCTAACGTGACAGTAAGAATACATTGTCATGGAAAGGTAGTAAGTAATACACTATCATGGAAGTTCTCATGTGAGCTTGGAGATCATGTTAAATTTCCAGCTCTTCTTTGAAGTTGAACTTCGGTGTAAACAGGTCAAGAATAAGCTTAGGCTTAACTGGAAAAAGTTCATGAACAATGACAGCAGGGAGAGAAAAAATTTTCCATTAGAAATATGCGAGGAAAAAAAGTCCAATTACTTTTAGGATGAAACTTGTTAAACTTCTGTAGAAATTCATGTATTCTGATAGTTAGAGATGGGATTCTCTGACCCCAAAGGTATGTTCTCTCTCTTTTCTTTGTGTTTAGGGGAGTTTTTATTGTTTTTTTCTGAGCTTATTTCATAGCACTTATTCCAGTGAGAACTGAGTGTCCTGTGCTAGAAAGCTGTGTTGGGATACAAAGTGACAAATTGCAGCTAAAAAATTGTCAGAGTGGGCTGAGTGACTGTTTGCACATGGAACACAGGAACTGACTTGTTTGTAATTCTTGAATAGGTTATGTGTTACATATTCCAGTTATTGCCTTAAAACAACTTTTATGTGTTGTGGGGCTTTTTTAAAAATCTATATTTTTCTGGTTTAACATGTCAGCTGTGGCGTTGTCCTGCCTTTTTTCCTTAAACGCTGATAATTTTATTATTAAATATATGATCATTTTATTTTCACTTTTTAGCTAGTTGCAGAACAAGGAGGATTTGATGTCGTTTGCAAGGAGAGAAAATGGACCAAAATAGCCACGAGGATGGGATTTGCTCCTGGCAAAGCCGTGGGCTCACACATCCGGGCGCACTACGAGCGAATCCTCTACCCCTACAACTTATTCCAGTCGGGAGCGAGTCTCTTGGTAAGCTACACTGAGTCCAGTTAATTTAGCAGCCAGTCTGTCAGGGCTCTCTTAATTACTGGAACATTTGTGAAGCTGCATTTCATGCTTAGTGTCATGCAGGTGACCAGATGCATTGTGTGATGAAGGCAGTTCAGAAAGCTGTGGGCAGACTTTTAATTAAAAGTGAAATTTTTAGCATTAGTCTTCAAGGTAAGCTCTTACTCCTGCTTTGAACACCACCTGTTTGTATTTTCTCTCTGCAGTTTACAGAAGCTTCCTGATAACAGACTTTCAGGCTTCCTGTAGTAGTTTCTGTAGTGCCAAGTACTGCTAATCCATGGAACATCCCAGGTCTGTCTCTCTGCCAGAACAAAAGCTGTGGGTCTGTGTCCCATACCCAGAGTGACCCAGGGACTGTGCAAACCATGGCAGTGTTGTGACAGTAACTCATCTCATGTTCACCAGGGGTGACAAGTTGAAGAATGCATCCTGGCTGTTCCAGTGGGGCTGACTGTGGCTTGTGACTTCTTCCAAGCTTAAATCTTCATCCTTCCTGGATCAATCATCAATCCTTGATTTGACCATTAAACCAAAACTCAGGGTTTGTTGAGAGTGGAGACCATGTAATCTCTAATGAAGAATAGGCCTTCTTTTTTAGAGCAGTAGTCATTTATTTGGAAAACCAAAATAGGTTGCAATTGCCAACATCCATTTTTATTTCTTTGCAATATTCTTTCCGTGATGATCTTTCAAAGACAGGAGTGTTGACCTTTTTTAAGCAATAAAAGCCCTAATCCTGTTACAAGCTTGTGTCTGTGTGCAGAAATCAACACAGGCCTTTACACAAAGCTGCAGAAATGAGAGAGGGATTTGATACACGTTCAGAGAGGTTAGAATTAGACTTTTTATTTGGGCAGCGATGATCAATTCTCAGTGAAAAACAACTAAATTCTGCAGATCCTTCAGAAAGAGGGGTCTTTTGCAAACAGTGGATAAGAACAAAATAGAGTTGAATATAAAAATCTTTGAGCTAAGGAAACTGCTGGATCAAAAGTATTTTGGCTTCCCTCAAACACATTCTTGTTAAGCAATGGAAAGCAGCACCATTTTCTGAAGACATTTCATTGAAAACTTGGCATTTTTATTAGGTCTGAAAACCGTCATTTCTCTCTGGGTTTTTTTGAGCTCACGTGTTTGTTACATCTGACGTTGCTGCCGTATTTTTGAGGTGCAATTGCACAGGGAAAGATCTAATTAAAAGTTGCAGTGCAGTGAATGTAGTTCCACAGCACTCTAGAAATGGGGCTTCCCTGAGACCATCTGTCACGCAATTAATACTCACATTCATGGTTTGCTCAGTATTTTAAACCCTTTCAGAAAAGAGAAACCTTCTTAGATGAGGACATGCTTCTTTTTAAATGTTACTTTTCAAGCTCTGTCTTGCAATGGGCACCTGACATTTGTTCAAACTGATGTGGAGGCAGTTCTGGACAAGTGATGCATGTAAGGGTAATTTTTTTTTTTTACTTTCTCCACACCCCCGCCCCAAGCTTTTAAAATATTCCCCTTCTGTATGTGGCAGGCATAGATTTTTGAATGACCTGAGAGAATCCATGGGAATATGTTGGGCTTAGCTCACTTTTCACTCTAATTTGACTTTTTTTTTCTTCGTGACAACCTTGTCTTCCAAGTGAGTTTGTTTTGCAAAACATTTTTTGCGGAAGAATCTCAGATGAGATTCTTTTTGACTTCCTTCCACGTGCTCTCAGTAAGTGATGCTTTCTCAGATGCTTCTTGTGTAGGTGTCCATTATTGTGTGTCTGTTCAGTGTTTTGCTGGGAACCTAAGCACCTGAGTTGTGTTTTTGAAGAAGTTGGATGTGACAGCTGTCAGTTGGAGATGCTTCCTCCTCGTGATACTTCAACAGCCCTTTGAGAGAAGCCCTTCATGCAGCTTGAGTGATCATCCAGACAAGATTAGTGCTTGCATTCACCGATTCCTTTGATTTACTTTTTCCCTTTGTTTGTTAGTACTTGAGATATCCATTGGGGTTCTTTTTCCTGCAAAAGTGAAGAATAATGGGATGGTGTAGTTTCCACTGATGACTGTGCCACAACTTAAATCTAATCCAGATCTGAGCATAGCATTAACTGTTTGCGTGGCTTAAATACATGTTAAACTGGCTTCAGGAGTTATTTTGACACATATCCCAGTTGGAGATATTTCTATCTACATACTGAAATAGTGAAACTCTCTGGAGCTGTTCAGGGGGGGGGACGGGAATAACATGTTTTTATTAAAGCTCTTGTTCAGTCCAAGAGCAAAAATTCCTTAAATCAGCCAGTTTCTAGTACTCAAAGCAGCTCTCCACAGGGGGGGTGTTTATTTTCTTATCTTGAAACATTGGATTAGACAGGCCTTGGGTGTTTTGTCTCCAGAGCAGTTGCAGTGAACTTGTCGATACTGGTTCTGTACCTCCCATTCCTACCTGTAGTAACCATCTGTGATACTGCAGAGTCATACTCTGTGCCCAGAGGGATAAATGTTCCCCTGCCTGAACTGAGGTGTCTGGAATCTTCTGTCAGTGCATCTTCTGTGATGCATTGCCCAGATGTTTGATGATTTAAACAGTCATCTCCAGCTACAGTTTGGGGGGCTCGAGATGGTCTTGCTCCTGTTTTTCAGTGAATCCAGCTGGTTCAGTAACTGTGGGTCTGGTCTCTCTTCCAAACTAAGGCTTTAGTGGCCTGAGTAGGATTTCGTATTTCCAGAGATTTATATGTGTGTGCCTCTAATAAAGGTCTTTCAGTGTGAGATAGTTCTCTGGCAGCCTTTATTGTTCTTGGAGAAAAATGAGCTCTTCTGGAGTTTGATGGTTCTTACCCTCCATGGATAAGTAGTAGGGGTAGACCTGTTGTGTTCTGCAAGTAAAGGGAGCCTGACTGATTGGCTTATGTGTAAATTACTCTAATTTAATTACTACTAATAAACATCTAAACCTGGAGGAGATAAATTGCATCCGTTTTTTTTCCCCCATCTTCTGACATCCTGGAGGCCTTGTGACCATTCCTTCTGTGTCCTTTGTCTGCTAAAGGAGCTGCTCCTTTATGGTTTCAGCTGATGGGCTTTCAGCTTGCTGTCTGCCACCACTGGGAGTTCAAGGATCATATGTGCAGCCATCTTCTTGGAATATAACAAGATGATGATGACAGTGTATGGGATGAGTTTATGCTGAATTGTTGGTAGAAGTTCAGCCTTGCCAGAGGCTGACTGGGAGAGGGAAGGACTGGAGAGATGTCATCTGTGTCCTTGGTTGAAGGCAGTTGATCTGGTCAGTGCAGGAGTAAAGGAGCTTCAGAGGAATTCTCATCCATAAGACAGGGTTTACACTTCTAGGTCTTCTCTAGGTACAGTTGAAATGGTTAATTAACAGCCATTTCATGGCACTGCTTTACCTCAGGATATGGAGGCACTGGGAAATGTTTGTGCATAAATAGTTGGTGAAACCTCAGTATTTAGGAAATGTGCTCTGGTGTTTTTCAGTGAATGTTCATTTTTTGGTGGTGTTGTTTTTTTTCCTTGGCACTGAAGTGAGGCAAGTTATACTGTCTGTTGGTTTTCCAGGTTTCCTTACCATTTTGATTAGGAAAAGTTGATTGCCTTCTACATCTTTATTTTCAAGGATCATATGTCCTCTATTACCAGAAGGAGTAGAAGCTTTTTGTTTTTCTTTTGGTGAAAAAATTGGATTTCACTTGAGGACACAATTCAAGGAATCAGATTTTATGGAAGTTCTTGTCTTTCATTTTCATCATTTTTCTACTCACTTGCTTTTTCTGCTTGTCCATTTTCTGTTCTGAGAAACTGTTATTTTTTTTACTTTCCTCCACTGATGTTGATGTGAAATAATTCCCATCATCTTTGGTAGATGCCTCATCCCTGGAAACATTCAAAGCCAGGTTGGATGGTGTTCAACCCGGTCTAGTGGAAGGTGTCCCTGCCCACGGCAGGGGCTTAGAACGAGGTGATCTTTAGAGTCCCTTCCAACGCAAACCATCCTGTGACCCTGTGATTCTTCTTCCAGTGTGAGCCTTAAGGGGACAAGCTCTTGTGAAGGGCCAGCTGCTCTGGGCTCCAGGTACCCACAACCTGCCCACCTTTGAGCGTCGGCCAGGACTCGCCGCTCGTGCGCGCGAGCTGCAAAGTTGAGTGTTTTTGTGTATTTAGTGTTGAAGTGAAGTCTCCCCTTTGCTTTCAGAGAATAAATCTAGGGCTTACAAAGTCTAGGACTAAAGGCAGTGTGAAAGAAAATAGCAGTCCTGGAGGTTTCTTTGGTCAGAGTTGTGGGCTGTCTGTGGGTGATGGTTAATCTCATCCTGCTGCCCATGACCGATACTGAAATTTTGTTAAATACATAATTCTTTCAGCATAGACTTGTCTTCTAAAATACCACTTTTTCCTCCTTTTCCATCCCCCCTTCTGGCTGTCATTTGTTCCTGAAAGTCTGATTTCTGCGCTGTCCACAGAGTATCATCATCCTCACACCACTGCAGTGGTTCTTCACTGTTCTCTCTTGCTGAGAAAATGCTTCTGACAGGAACAGGGGAAATGTGGATCCAGCAATTCCTGTGAATTACTTCCTGACAACATGGGATTTTTTCTTTCTGTAGGATTTGTTGTTTACTCATTAAAAACTGTTGCATTTTGTCTGCTGTTACTGAGTGTTGTGTGGCTTGACAAACGGGGAATTGTTATTAATTATTCAGTTTCTTGCCAAAAATGTGCACAGTTTTCAGCAATTAAATATGTTCATTCAGCAACTTGAAAGAACTAAAACTGGTTTTGCATCTTTTCCCTTCTGCTCTTAGTTCATGGAGCAGTTGTCCTCTCCAAAACATGGAAGAAGGGAACTCCAGCGATGTCCATTGGACAAGGCTGTATTTCAGTTAGCACAAGGATATTTGATAGGCTGTAATTTAGTTTTATATTGTTGGCATCACAGCAATGCAACCTGAGGTCACTGCAGCAGTTCCAGAGTGCTGGTGATCCAGTCTGAAAAAGCCCCATCTGCTAGAAGAGTTGAGGTTGGGATCTCACATGAGAAATGTTCAGTGCTCATAACACTTAAAGGATACTTCAACTTGCTTTAAGATCCTTTATTATGGTTATTGCAGTCACTAAACGGGCAGGAAAAAGTGAATTTGTGACTTGTTCAAATAGGTAATTCTACCATTGTCATACATGCTGTTTTGTTAGCTCAGCACAGTAATTATCAGGGCCCTGTCTCTGTTCTTTCCCACGAGCCGGGAAATTGTTCTGCACGAAATTTGTGTTGGAGGCGGAGGCAGAAAAAATGCAAGTAACCAAATTGTGTCTCTTTTAGTGCTTGCAGAAACCGGATCTCAGCAGTGACACGAAGGACAAGGAGTACAAGCCCCACGACATCCCCCAGAGACAGTCGGTGCCGCCGTCGGAGACCTGCCCGCCCGCGCGCCGAGCCAAGCGCCTGACGGCCGAGGTGAGGGCTCAGCTCTGGGGGCACAGCCTCAACCTTCAGAAAGGCATAAACCCTAAAAAAATGGGCTGAGAATTGCGTGGTGCTCTAACAGCTGTGTTACTGAGGTTTGGAGTTCTGGGAGGCTCTGCTGTGGGAGCTGTCTAGGGGTGTGTACAGTAATGTTTTTAGCATGGTAGTAAATACTGTGAGGCTCTTGGATGAAAATACAGGTGACAAGTTGTGGAAATGAAGCAGCTTTGATCTGTTGTTCTCAGTCAGTGAGCTGCAGTTATTCTTTAAATGTGCTGGGAGGTTTCTGTACATCTTTCATGAGCTGAAGCCAGCTGTTGGAGCAGGGAAGGTTTTGGTTGTAACATTAGCACTGTTGAATTTCATTTTTCACTCTTCAATTCTATCAATTTTTGATAACTTACCCATGCAATGTAAGGGAAAAATGCATAACCTGAAGTCAGTGTGGTTTTATACAATCTTAAATGTGCTTAAGAAATAATATTTATTTGGATAAGCATAAAATGCATTGATTATATCTCAGTGTCTTCTGTGAAGACGTATTTTAGGAGAACATGGTGTGTCTCCCTTATTGCTGGAAAACAGTAATACTGTGGCTCCAGCCTTTCCAGCCTGATGATCCTGTCTCCAGAGAGTTCCTATTTCTTTTGTTGGAGTAGATGAAGAGAAGGGAAGGATGTTCCCAGGAGAGGGTCTGATTAGTGGTGACATCATGAGTTAGGAAGGTCACGGTTCACTTCAGATTCTTATTAACTCCCATTGTTCTAGTCTTGGTCTTTATTAGTACCAATAGTACAGCTTAGTTGTTGCAAATTCTGCCTGTAATTATGCTTAGTTAATGAGTTACAATTAAGGATTTCCAAAGCTTTTCCACTCAAATACCTGGTTACAAGTGGATTTGTAATTCTGAGCAAACCTCGGTAGTTTGGGCTGAAGCTTTCCATTTGGAGTGTCTGCCTGTGGTTACAGGATGCTTGTTCTCATGGATCCCTTAAGGATTAACAGCAAGACAAATATACACTAAAATTCCAGCTGTTTCTCTGGCAGTGGTGTCAGGTGGCACTAACAAAGAGGGCACATTTTTATGATTTTGGTGGAAACCAACTGCTCATCCTTAACTAAAAGGCAAGGCTGCCCTCTCAGCTCTTGCCCCAAGCACCACTGGTGTCATGCACCTAATTTTTGTGGAAAAAAATCCTTGATTGAGAATAGAATTGGAACACACAGTGCTAAGGCTCAATTGAGCAGCAGGAACTGACTGGCTTAGCAAGGAGCTGCGGTGCTTTTAGACAATAATTTCCACAAGATTTGTTAATGTGAACATTTCCGTACCATTTCAGTGCAGTGAGCCACAGTGATTAAATCCATTTTATTCAACACTGAAGCTCCAAGCAGCTGGCATTTGCACTGACCTCATTGTAAAGGAGTAATGCTTGTTCTTGTGTCCCAACTTTTTGAGATATACAAGGATTTGTCAGTGTCTTAAACTGTAAATCTTAAATTCATTCTCATGTTTGCCAGTTTGACGTTTCCTGCTTTTCAAAGGCTGACGTAAACCTCTGAAAGAAGTGAAGCACAGAGAAGTACTGCAAATTATTCTGTCCTGTAGGATAAGTGTTAACTTGCAGTTGGAAGACACACAGAGTTTTACCTGGCCCTTTCTTACCTGCTGAGTAAACAGCCAGGAGAAAACATTCATGAGAAAGGAAAAGGGCAGTGCCTATCATAGGCTGTGTTTGGAATGCAAAGGGTTTAGGTGCTTGATGTAGGAAAGTTTGGTGTGAAAGACTCCAATAATGCTGGGGAGGTGAAAGTGAGATGAGTTGATGTGATAAAAGGCTCAGACCGAAAACAAGAGCTGCTCAGTGTTGGCTAAGGCACAGAATAAGACACAGAGAAGCTGGAGATGCAGAAGCTGGGGGTCTCTCTCTTCACTGCTGGAGGCTCAGGGCCCACTAACCCTGAGGCAGAACTGCTGCATACGATGAAAAGCTTCTTTTTTTGCATATCTTAAACAGTGGGATTGATGCCTGGTCTGATGGAGACATTTAGACAAAGAGAACGTGAAAAGTGATGGGGAAATAATGTCAAAACCAGCTCTGTAAAAATCCAAATCAAACAACCAAAGCCTACAAAAACCCCCAAAGTGAACAACAGCCCCCACCCCTTGGAGTACCTGGGGCTGTGTTCAGTCCTGCCTTGGACCTGCACCACAGACCCCATTTTTGGGGGTTCAGGGAGTGGCTGATAGTGACTGACCTGTTGCATGACCTCATTCCTTAAGGAGTTAAGCTTAAAAAAATACAATGTTGGAGAAATCTCTCATGATGCTGAGGAATTTGAGAGTTGTTCTTCCACAGTCTCAAAACTTCAGGGAAGAAATGTATAAATTAAATGGAAAAACATTTTTCTGTGTTGAAAGCTCCCCAATGCACCAGCTAAGGTCCTTGCTGGAGCATGTTCTGCTTCTCAAGAGCACTAGAGAATCTGTGAAAGCCCAGAGTTCCTTGTTCCTTTGCTTCTTATGGGGTCCCACTGAAAGCAAACCCAAAGCCTGGTACCATTATTGACATGGACTTTTTGTAAGATTTGCTTTCAAATCTCCAGTGTTGTTCCCTGTATTATTTCTCTCTGAACTGTTCTAAGTAACTGAAGAGAAGTGTTTCAGAACTTCAGGTGTCAGTTTAGATTTGTTGTTTTGTAAGTATTAAATGTTTCTGAGTTTGATTGAAAAGTCTGAGTCCCCCTGTCTGATTTTTTTCCCTTTTTTTAAGGCAACCAATATTAAAACTGAGTCTGACCCTCCAGAAGCCAGAACTCACAATCTGAGACGCAGGATGGGATGTGCCCCTCCAAAGAGTGACAGTGGTGAGTGAAACACAACCTGAATGCAGCTTCTGTTACTTTGTACAAACATGTTTTAAGACCAGAGTTAAATTCAGCAATTGGAACTATTCAAAGTATTTAAAAAAAAAAAACAACACCAACTTTCTGTTAATTTAATTTTAAAATTGGATTTTATGGTAAAAGCTCTTTTAAGGGTTGGAAGTACTTTTTGTTTTTCTTGTAGAAGCTACTTCCAGTTGAGAAAAACCTACTTTTTCAAACTTGGGTGTCCCTTCCACAGCAATTGGAAATGAGATGGGAGCATATTTCTGGTTTGTGTTTTAAATAACATCAGTCCTCGAGCTTTAAGTAGAGGAAACTCTTTTAAGAATGTATGAGATTTCAGACACTTTTGGCAAAGAATTTGGATTTGAAATCAGGAAATTAAACTCATGAAGGCAAAAGTTGATACTATGTTTTGGCCTTAATGATAAAGTTCCCACAATATGATTAAATTGCTGCTATCAACAGTCCTGAGTCTGTTGTTATCTGTCCTTAAGAAATAATCATTTCAGACTGAGAAGCAAAATTTAATGCCATCGAACAGAAGAATAAGCTTGTTGACAAATAATTTGGCCAAATAAATATAGGGACCATTTACAACTATGCAATAATTTAAATTACCTGAGCAGTCTGTAAGTCTCCTTTGTTCATTCAAAATCCTTTTTTCAAGAATTTCTTTAGATTGGGGTCTTTTGTAACTTGACTTTTTTTCTTCAAGGAGTCTGTAAACTTCCCCCCTCCCCAAGAGTAGAAGGAAAAAGCTCTTGACAGCTTTTATTAACACCACATGGAAACAAAATCTTAGCTTATGAATCTGCTCATAATTTAATTTAAGTTAATTGAAATGGGACTTAAACACTGTGGGCTCTGTAGATAGTGCTGGCTCGTGGTGTTGTGCTTGGGTTTTCAGGTAACACCAACTTCTGGGGGCACTGCAGGTGTTCAAATCTTGCCTTATGTTCACTGAAACAAGTGTGGGGGGATAACAAGTAATTCAGCAAATAACTTGGTGTGATGGAGTCTAACAAGTAATAAATAAAACAAACGATAACAACGAATGTTAAGCATTGAAACATTTTGTAACACTCTTTTTTTTTCTGTTGCCCAGACAAGGAAATGCGCAGCCTGGTGAAACTCCCTGAGAAGAAAGAACTTTCTGGGGAGCCAGAGAAGGACAAATCCAAAGTCAGATCCAAAAAACCCACCAATGCTGTGAGTACTCCCTGGCTTCTTGCTGCTGTGTGTGGATTGCAGGTGTTTCTGGGTCTCTCTGGGGTGTGTAGCAAAACCTCCTGTCATCTCTGCCTGTGTTCTTCCTAGAACCCTGTGGCTGAAGCATGCCTGTGCCTGCTGGAACACCCATACTGCTAAAGGTTCTGGCTTTACAAAGCTGGAAATGACAGGGTGGTTAAGTTTCACCATCTATAACTAAAGTAACTTGTTTTCTGTCTCCAAGGTACAGTCTCAAAATAAGCACTTTGAAAGCCTAGTCCAGTGCAAGCGGTTCTTGTGTGACCCAATCTCTCCCCATTGCTCTTTAACTTCAGGGGAGCTCAGTGCAGGCTGTGGCACTTCCACACACCTGCCCCTAATTCCACAATTTCAGCACTGAACTGTAAGCTTTGTTATTGAAATGCATCTTAAAAAAACCAACCCTGTTCCTGCTCCAACTCTCCACACACCAACCCACCCCCTAGAAACCCCAACCTGAAAGCACTGGTAGTTGTCTCACTTCTGAAAAGCCGATGCCAAGATTCTTTCTGCCTGTGCCACTACTTGAGTCCCTCCTAAAACAAACATCCTCTCATTTAATCCACACTTGTAGCTGAGAATGAAGAGGGCAAATACCAGAAGCCTGACACCACCATGCCCCACATGAAAAAGGCTTGTGGGGAGGAGCAGGAGATGAGCCTGTCCTCCCAGCTCTGTTCTGTGTTTGGGAAGAGCTTTCCAGGCTGTTGCTGGTGAGAGTGGGATGTTGGACAGGCAGCAGACAGCCCTACCAAGGTTGGAGTGCTTGTGCCTGTTCCTTGGGGCTCGGGAGCTGCTCCATCACAATTAACAGCTGCTCCCCTGCCCAAAGCTCTCCTGGCAGGTTGGTGCCTTCTCTGGGGGAAAAAGAGGAGGAACCTCTTTCTCTCTTCTGAGGCCACGTGGTCTCAGAGGGGATCGAAACACCTGAGCACACCAACAGGAGAAGGGTTTGTGAGCCCCCAGCAGGTGTTGGGTTATACCTGCTGAGGCCACAGTGCTGCTGATGTGAACTGTCCTGGCACTGAGTCAAGTCTTCAGGCATTTGGAAAAAAAAACACATGGAAGGACTTGCAGCTCTTGTGGTCCTTCCTTAGATTACAGAGAGGAGTATTTAAACTTTTGCATGAGTATCTACTGTTTGCTTGTCTCATTTCCATTGCAGAGATAAAGTGGAACAATAAGCTTTGGGAAACGTGGCAGATGAGTTCCCTTCAGTACTCACATTCCCACTCTGGAATTCTGTGTTACAGGTGGATTTGTACGTGTGTCTCCTGTGTGGCAGTGGGAACGATGAGGACCGGCTCCTGCTGTGCGATGGCTGTGATGACAGTTACCACACCTTCTGTTTAATTCCACCCCTCCATGATGTTCCCAAAGGGGACTGGAGGTGTCCCCAGTGTCTGGCTCAGGTAATCTGACAAATTGTTACAGTTAGGCTGAAGGTTACTCTGTGGATTATTTTTAAGATCGGTCAGAGGAATTGAGAATGCAATTTGTTGTTATTTAAGGTTGTGCAAACAAGGTGATAGAGGTACAGCTAAAATGGAGGCTGGGCGTGATTCAAATTGGAAATCTGTCACTTAATGCCAAAAATTGGTGTGCCTTGGAAGAACATCTAATTGGCATCCTTTCCTCTGTGCCTAAAATTGGAGTCTCACTGGGTGCTTCAGTGTAGTGCTCTATGGATCTTGTTCTGCATAACTCTCTAACAGTAAGGAGAAATTAGGCATATTAATTCATTAATGTTTATGCAGATTTATAAATAAATAAATATTGTGATTTGGTGAATCAAGCAGCATTTCTTCTTCTGATCCCTGGGGCAGTGACTTCATTTCAGTGAGGTGTCCTGCCTTCTTACTCCTCACATGCTGTTGTAGTAGCCCATTTGTGTAAATTCTGAGCACAGTGTTGTGTTAATATGGAAACAATCACCTTTTCAATTGCAGGAGTGTAACAAGCCTCAAGAAGCCTTTGGGTTTGAACAAGCAGCACGAGACTACACCCTGCGCACCTTTGGAGAAATGGCTGATGCGTTCAAGTCAGACTATTTCAACATGCCCGTACATGTATGTTCCTGCCTTACCCTGGTGCTGTCATGTAGGGTTCATTTAGCATGCTTAGTTAAAATAGATATCTTTGGAGAGGGAGGGAAGAATCCTGATTTTGAAGGGGATGAAATTCCGAGTTCTCATTTACGCCAGCGAATCCTGATTCTTGCTGATGTCACGGTTTTTTTGTTCCACCAGCTGCTTGTGCTTTTGTTTGTTTCTTCCCACTTTTGAAGAAGTGTCTGTAGGGAGGAGATCTCTGACTGTCACCCATTCCTGAGAGAAGAGAGTAGCAGCATTTCCTGGAACCACGTTTCTGCTGCAGTTTTTTTCTCTTGTTGAAACAGTTCTGAAATGGGGAAAGGCTCCAAGCTAATGGAGGTTCCTTCCTGAGACAGCTTTGATGCACATACTTCTTCTCTACTGATTCCTCAGTACATACTCCTTTTTCTTCTTCTCATACCTAGATGGTCCCCACTGAGCTGGTTGAAAAAGAATTCTGGAGACTTGTCAGTACCATTGAAGAGGATGTGACTGTGGAATATGGAGCTGACATTGCTTCAAAGGAGTTTGGCAGTGGCTTCCCAGTTAGGGGTGGGAAGTTTAAAGTTAGACCAGAAGAAGAGGTAGGTCTTGGAGTTCACTGGGAATGTTTTTATTGCAGTTTTTTGTTAAATAAGGCTCCTTGGTTCAAAGCACAGTAATGGAACACAACGAAACCACAAAATGGTTTGCAAAGTGTTTGTTTTGTGTATCTGGCAGAGTATTAGAAAAGGAGAGTTATATCAGGGTTTTGAATAAATAAAACTTGCTGTGATCAGACATCCAATGCCACAGGTTAATAGTAGTTAATAAATAACTGCCAAACCGAATAAAACCAAATAAAAAAGGTCTCATTTTAACAAAGCAGGTCAGGTCAGGGTTGTGAAAGGGGCAAAGAAAATGAAGGATTTAGTCTTTCATTCATTGACCTGTTTCTTATATTCCTCAGTTGGAAAAGGTCCTTTTCTTCTGTTGCTCTTCAGCAGTTTTATTTTCTTGGGCTTTTTACTTCCTGTTTTATAAACCTGCAACTGTTCTGTTCAATTTTCAGGAATACCTTGATAGTGGCTGGAATTTAAACAACATGCCTGTGATGGAGCAGTCTGTGCTTGCTCACATCACTGCAGACATCTGTGGGATGAAATTGCCCTGGCTGTATGTAGGAATGTGCTTTTCCTCTTTTTGTTGGCATATAGAAGACCATTGGAGCTATTCCATTAACTATCTGCATTGGTGAGTTTGAGGAATAAACCCAGCCTGGGAAACAATCTCCCTTTCCTTTCCCCTTCTGCTTCTTAATTAGTGGACTAAAACCAGATTCACAGAGCTCAGCCAGAGTAACCATTGCTGTCCTGTCACAGCAGGGTTAAATTTGACAGTGTAATTCCTACATTGATTTGCTTTTGGACAAGAGGTCATATTTTGGAAAGAGACATCCATTCCCAGTTTTAAAAATCCATGAGAGATGCAGCAGATACTCCATCAAGTGTTTTATTATGCTCAATGTAAACTAAAAACCATGCGAGTTTTTTTTTTTAAAAATCATCTTAACTTCAGCTGACGACTCAGACCCGGCATGTTTTGTCTGTTAGATGGATCATGCTGTCATAAATCCTCTCATCAAGCCAACACTTGTCAGGTGTAATCAGGACAGATCTTTGCCATCTCTTTGATATTCTAAATAGATTGAACTTCTTGAACTTCTCACCTTACAACAGGTTTCCTAGAGTCTGGATTATTCTTGCCACTCTTCCTGAAACCTCTTTCCCTCAAGCTCTTTCCCTTTTCTTGTTCACATGAACAGTAAAACCACATCCCAGCTGCTGTTCAGAGGGTCCTTTTTTGGTTGGTTATTCAGTTGCTGTTCCTTGAAATAGCTGCTGCTGTAGGGCAGCCCAAGAGCCAGTGACTTAATTCACTTGCCTTCATGGTACTTACTGTTACTAAAACAAATGTTTGAGTGAGGGTAAGTAAAGGAGTGACAGGATTACATGGTAAAAAGGATCTTCCTTGTCATGTGTTGCTGCTTTTTTCCTCCTCTTTCTCTGGGTCTTCAGTCGGGCCAACAGCTGTGGGCAGGAGAGGAGTTTGTTTGCAGTACAACCTTCATTTCTTCGAGGAGAGCTTCACTCACTGTTGTTAGAATGGCTTTATGCCCTCCATAATGTGCCCCAAATTGCATTAGTGTTTGCAGCAAGGCCAGAAAGGTGCTTCAGTGTGTACACATGCATGTGCACACATATGTTCATTCAGATACACGTGAGATTTTCCTGACTTGCTTTCAATTAATTTATCCTCCAGCAGGAAAGTCCTTGACATCTTTTTATTTGAGGATATTCTTCTTTATTTCCCTTCAGTGTAGAGGTTTAAGTCTGGGGTTTTAGCCTATTGGAGAGGAATGTGCAGTTGAGGTTAAAGCTGTTCTTGGCCAGAGCAGTTGGTCTGAACAACCTGCTGCTGCAGAGACAATGCTGCAAACTCTGAAGACTCCAGAAGTCAGGACTGGTTCCTGGCAAATCCTAGGGATGGTGTGTCCATCCTCAGTGTTCCCACATGCCGTGGAGGAGCTCCCACATGCCCATGTCCTGATGAAGCACTGGGAGCAGCTAATCCCAAGTGACCCAGGCTGCAGCAGCAGAACTTTCCCAGGGCTGAAGGCAATAGTCCTCTTGCAGGACTCTGAGTCCTGTGTTAGTTCTAGAAATGGTAAAAGGAGAAAAAACCAAATCTCTGCTTCAGAGAGGCTTGGAAACTAATAAATAAGATGTCAGTCCTGGTCAGATGAAGAATTACCATTGTTGCTGCTGGTATTTCTACAGGCAGGATGTGGGGCAGTCAGAAGGAACTGTCACCTTCATCCACCTGCAGTGTGCTGGTCCCTAGGGCTGGCACCTCAACACCTCCAGTAGAATAGTGTCTCTCTCTCTCTTACCTGTTCTTCTGAAGTCCAGAGACCACCAGTTCCAGTATCCTGGTCCAAGTTTAGCACAGTTCATATCTGCTGTCACTCATTCCTTGGTGCTGACACATATCAAGGAGCAGAACTAAGTCTTGACTAACCCAGTGTTGGGTCTGGACACAGGAAGGTTTTTAGTTGCATCTGTCGCTGGTGTTCATGAATCTCTAGAGTTGTTCTGGGACAATGCTCAGGTCCAAGGCTGCAGAGTTATTCCAGGATGGTGACCAGGTCCAAGGCTGCCTAGTGATTTAACACTGCAGAACAACTGTGATACCAGTGTAAGTGCCCCCTCCACAGCCCATCCTGCTGGCTTTCCTCTTCCCCCGACACAGGGGCTGTGTGAATACAGGGGTAGGGATAGGCTTCTGGATTCACACTTCACTCTTTCCTTTTGGAATCCTCCCAGTTGCACCATGATTACTGGAAAAAAAGAACAGTGTTGGGTCAGTTTTGCTCTGCCGGCTCCTCAGGAGTCTGGGATAAGGTGATGTGTCTGTTTTCCTTTCTAAAGACCTTTTCTAACCTCGTCCTCTATAAGGCCCTGAAGGCATTTTCATCTCAGTGCTGCAGTGAACCAGTGCTAGTGTAAGCCTGAAACAGTATCTGCTGGAACACATCTGCATCACCTTAATTCTCTCAGCCTGGCTTGCTTTGGGTTAAGCTGGTGCTAAAAGTTCTTTTTTTTCCTCCTCTGGATATGGATTTGTTTTTCCCCTTGAAGTCTTTTGCATAATTCGGAAGTTTGATTTCTACTTCCTGTGTGTTGCTTTTATGGCAGTTAAGCACAAGACAGAAAGAACTGGCTTTGGTTGATTAACCCAAGAGGGAGTTTGTGTTCAGGGAAAAGACAAGTGGCTTATGTTTTGAAGTTGTGCTGAAATCAGCAGAACTTCAGTGAGAACTTCTTCAGACTATTTCCCCCGCCCCAGAATATTTGAAGTCCCTGCTCAGAAGTGTAGGCAGTTAAAAGCAGATCTGGAGGAGAGGGACCTGTGTAAAATGTGAAGATTCAAGAAGGTACAGAACCTTTGCATTCCTTCCCGGTGATATGCCCTTCTTTTGACATGGTGTATTTTAAAGCAGAAGACTGAAAATGTAACTTAAAGATTGCTTATATTTAACTTTTTTTAATAATCTTGCAGGGGGGAGCCTAAAACGTGGTATGGAGCCCCAGGGTACGCAGCTGAGCAGCTGGAGGATGTAATGAAGAAACTTGCTCCAGAGCTATTTGAGTCCCAGCCAGATCTCTTGCACCAACTTGTCACCATAATGAACCCGAACACTTTGATGGCCCACGGGGTGCCTGTATGTGTCGGACTCCTGTGCTACTCCCCAAACCCAACCCTCTTTGATTGGAACTCTACTTAAAGCTGATAACTGAAGCCACTTTTATTACAGAGATGGTGTGGTGGTTTCCATGTGTGCTGCATCTTCCTTATCCAGTGTAATGTGCCAGGGCGAACAGATGGGCAGTGGAATCATTGCCTTTGGAAATGACTGGCAGACTCTTCTCTGGAGATCCATCTTGGATATTTCTGTTTCTGTGTCTCAGCTGGAAGGTTTAGGCTCAACCTTTGGAACAATGGCAGGAGCTCTTGTATGTCTGTTCAATCAGACACCATTTTTTTTTTTTTT